TTTATCTACAAAAAAATATAATTTGATCAATAACTAAGTATAAGTTTATTGTAGATATTATCGATTTACTGAGAGGGGTCGAAACTTTCTGATCACCCTTTAATTTCTGCTTCTATACTTTAATATTTCTTTTAGATTCTATGTCACAAATAAAAAAAAAAATGATAAACATGTTGTTATAAGAACGGCATTTTTTATTTGTCGATAACAAAATATTTATCATTTCTAATCTATTCGACAAATAGAATATTATTGACGAATTTTTCAACAAACTCTTTTTTTTTCTTTGCCATTAGCTTTATCAATAATTCATCGGAGTAATGCACATTTTTTTTTTGTGATAATCGTATTGATCTCACTTAACTATAACTAAGAATAATATATTGAGATTTATATTAATTCTTTTTTATCAAATACAAATATATCAACATATTGACAGACTAAAATAATGAAAGATTTTTCTCCAGTAAACATCTTGAAAGACATATTTAGTTTTGGCATATCGAACTGAATTTAGTCAAATAAGTAAATCATTCGATATGGTAAAAATTCTATTCACCTCTTTTTATGTAGATCTCATTGTTTTTTTTAAATTTATAAGAACATTTATCATTCTGAATCTGTTTCACTTTACACGAGTCTGAAAGCTTATAGGACAATTTTATTAATATATTGATTGAATTGGCATAAGAATTTTCTCAGATAAATTAAATATACTATAAAATATTCGATTGATGAAAATGATTGCACATTTATCTTTTATTTTAACACGACAACACACACATATAAAAACCTATGTTGCACATTTGTTGTCAATACTGTCGGTTGATGATCAGTATACTAGAGATTTTTTGTTCCGTTTAAATGCTGCCATGAATAATCAATAGGCATTAGTAATCGAGTTAAATTAATACCTAAAAAGAATATTGCAAATTGTATAATGATCAAATAAAGATAACAGATAAGATAGGAACGGAGTTTTTCACTTCGAATTAATTTTCATTTGTGAAAATTGTTAAATATTTTTCATTCTGAATGAAAATCAATATTATTTTTCTTCTGTTTTTTTTTTCTTCTAATGAACAGTTATTTATGCGCATAATATGAAATTAGCATAAAATTTATATCGTACGTTGATCAATTGTTTTTTTTTTGTGATAATAGTAAATATGAAAGATTGAAATTATTTTGACAGAATTCATCTTATTAGTTCTCATGTACTCAAATTAGAATATAACGCTTATTAGAAAAGTTATAGATAAGCAAAAAAAAAATAACATAGGTAATTGACATTTTGCTTATTCTTTTTATTGCATAACTTATTAACATTGTGATAGTCTCCCAGATTTTATACTTTTTAAAGAATAAAGAAAAATAAGCATAGAATAGAATTAAGAAAGAAGAAGAAAAATTACACAACTTCTAACATGAAACAGTGTAAGAGATGATTGTAGAAAATCAAATCTTGGTTAAATCACAATTCTGGATTATTTCGTCCATTTTTGAATTGGCAAACAACGTGTAGATAAGAAACTTCGATTTCGATAATCTAGAATCGAATCAATACTTGATTAAATTTTTTTCTAATCATTTCTCGAAGCATTTCGCTAATGTAATACATTACAAAGGAATATTATGATTTTTATAAGCCGATACTTTAAGAAGAATTACCTAGACATGAGCGAAATCTTGATAATAGACATATTTTTGTCTAATGGAAACATGAAAATATCACTTTGCTGTTAATTTCTTCCCACCTTAACTAATAGTAATTCATGGACACATTAACTTTCGATTCAATTGAATAGCGAAAGAAAATCTCATTTGAAAATGCGATTTTTATCCAATACGTTACGAATATATAACAAACGATCAATTTATTCATTGATAATACACGAATAGGAGTTGTTTTAAATATTATATTTATTCTTTGATTTTCATTTTTATCATAACTATTTATTCGTCTTGCAATTAGTTATCAGAGATCAATTAAAAAAAAAATTATTATTTGAGTTTTTCTATTTCAATTGAAATCAATGAATCGATCTGCTTATATCTTATCAAATTAATCAACAGTAAGTTTATTAAATTGTAAATAATTCTGTTCAATTATTCTGAGAATACACTTTCAAAGAATAATTATAAATGAACATATTTTACGTACAGATATAAAACCAAGCAACTTTTATTAATAATTTGAATAGTTGTTTAGGATCAATTTTACTAAACAGACATTTTCATTAATAATTCCAAACTACTTATATATTTAAAGTCCAAAGATCAACAGTAATTATATTTCATTGAATATTGAAATTTCAAAAACTTGACTGTAATAAATTTAAATTCATAGATTAGTCCAATGAGCTTGTTCAGCAATGAACTTGAACTGTGTGTAAAAATTACCACAGATAGAATTCTGATTATCGTAAGAAAAAACAAAAAAATGTTTTTTTTTTTCGTCAAATATTATAAGAATCTTATTAAAACGAATGAGAAAATATTATTATGATAAAATATCTATTTATATCATGGAATGCAAGTTTTTGTGAAATTCGACATTCTCCAACAAGATATATTACAATTTATTTCGAAAAAAAAAAGTTTGATGTAATTTGAAAAACCTCTACAGATTTATTTATATTTTATCTTTCCAAGTTGCTAATCATTGCTAATTGTAATAGAAGAAGATCGGATAATTATGGAGCAAAAATTTATCTATTGAAATAAAAATATTCAATTTTCAATATTTTGCTTTGTAATCTGAGCAGAAATCGTTCTCGATATTGACATTTGACATTCAGTGCTTACTCTACATAATTTACACTTTTGTTAACGAGACCAATTTTACATAGACAAATTGAAGAAAGTGTCAATAAAAAAAATTCAAATTTAACATCTTTGAATCTCGATAGGTACAATCACTATGCTTACTCAACTGCTCTCGAGTATAGACGTTTTTGTTTCAGTTGGTTACAAGCTGAATTCATTACCATAGTTTTAAGTTTGTAAAATATATCATTTGACGTGCTTTTAAGCCAAATCAATCGATTTTTGACTATTAAAAATATGCAAAAAAAGAGAAAAGATTGATTTCTTTTCATTATCTTATGGGAACGTTTTTATTGAGAAGAAAACAATAACATTTTCCTCTCAGTAAGTATACCAAAAAAAAAACAAATCGTTCTATTGTCTTTCTGAATCATTTATTTTCTGACTTTTCAGCTTCATAAAGCAAATAATCATCGAAAGTACAAAATATTTGCTTGAAAAATCTCAAAACAAATCAGATGAGTAGCATACAAAGAAAAAATGCATAAAATATCAAGCTACATAACAAGTTTGTCTTGAGTATAGAAGCTGTTCCACCACCACTTGCGGAAGATGCCACAGTGTATGAGGTAGTCATTGTTACTGTGGTTGTTGTTATTTGATGTTGTAATGTTGTTGTTTGCTGGTCTAATGTTGTTGTTTGATGTTGTAATGTTGTTGTTGTTGTTTGCTGATCTAATGTTGTTGTTTGCTGATCTAATGTTGTTGTTTGCTGATCTAATGTTGTTGTTTGATGTTGTAATGTTGTTGTTGTTTGCTGATCTAATGTTGTTGTTTGCTGATCTAATGTTGTTGTTTGCTGGTCTAATGTTGTTGTTTGATGTTGTAATGTTGTTGTTGTTTGCTGGTCTAATGTTGTTGTTTGCTGATCTAATGTTGTTGTTTGATGTTGTAATGTTGTTGTTTGCTGGTCTAATGTTGTTGTTACTGGTGTACTTGTTTCGACTATCATTGTTGTTGGATTAATTCCATTCGTATTTAATTGAATCCAATCATGATAGATTGACAGTCGAGTGTACACACCAGGATTTTCTGCTACAGCACAACCTTTTCCAAAACTCACAATCCCAACTTGTTCCCAATGATCACCAAGCCATTGATGAATAGGACCACCACTATCACCTATGAAATAGATGTGCAGCTTTAATACTGAATTCATCTGGAAAAAAAGAATCTTATTATTAGTTTACCTTGACAGGAGTCTTTTCCACCACCATCAACCAAAGCACAAAATTGTCGTTCTTTATCAATAATTGAATTGAGACATCGTGTATCATTATTAGCTATTGTTTTCACACGAACTTGACGTAATACATCTGGTCGAATACCATTAGAAAGCATTCTACCCCATCCAATTACTGCCAAGCGTGTGCCAACTGGTGGATAGTCGAGTCCAGCTGTCATCGGAGGTACACAAGTACGACCAGCATAATTTTCCTGTACTGCAATGTTCACTGGTGATGAAAGACGAATAAGTGCAATATCATTAACATATTTGGGCGGCCCTTGATAATTTGAATGTGGAATCAGTTTGGAAATATTACGTACTTGTGGTGAAGGTGATGTTTCACTATGAACACCAATATGAATAGTTACTCCACTAGTTTCACTAAGACAGTGAGCAGCTGTCAGTACCCATTCTTCATTCAAAAGTGCTCCGCCACAAAAATGTATATTATTCCTTCGTAATGCTACCACCCATGACCAACTATGTGGTTGAGCGTTTTCACCACCAACAATTCTTCCTTGAACACGATGGTGAGTATCAGGAAATGGTGGTTCATCATGAAAGATAACTGGTGTTGCTGAGCAACCACATGAATAACTTTTATTACACGAAAATGAAATTGGAGGACCTTAAGAAACACGATAAGTCATCATTATGAAAATCATTTTTGAAAAATATGAAATTTACCAAGTACATCTGGCTTTGGAGTTTGAAATGTAACAGGTGGAAATGTTATTATTGGTGGCATAGTCGGTGGTGGATTCTTTAATATTGCCAAGATCCAATCAATATAAGGTGCTGTTCGAGTAAATAATCCTTCAGTAGTGCATGAGTTACGAAAACTTGTAATGCCAACAAGTTCATATTGTAGACTATCATTTGAATAAACCATTAATGGACCACCAGCATCACCTGTAAAGAAAGTCTTTTAATTATTGAAATAAGCAGATAAACTATTCAATCACGTACCTTGACAAGTACCTAGAAGAAAAACCAAACATATAATTAGAAATTATTGAAGCAAAGAAAAAAAAACAAAGAAATGAAGATATATCCTACCAGTTGCACAAAGTTGTGTATGTGGATTAATTGATTTTTTAGTACATGGAACATTTTCTTGTACAATTATTTGTTGTAGAAATGGAGATGCGATAGATATATTTGATTGAATCGTTGCAAAATCCCATCCTATTGTTGTTAAATTCATATCTTCTAATGATGTTATATTTGATAATGAAATAGTTGATACACTTAATCCTTTGATATTGAATGGTAATGAAACACGAACAAGTGCAATATTATTAAGATAAGTTACGGAAGAATAATTCGAATGTGTAATTATTTGAGATACTGTTCGAAGTTGTTCTGTTGCTTGACTTTCATTAAAAATATTATGCATACCTGCTTTGATTGAAAACCAACTTGGAACTATCGAAAATTGTAGAAAACAATTGGCAGCAGTAAGTACAAATATATCAGAGAGAATAGCACCACCACACATATGTCTTACAACACCTAAAGCACTAAAACGTACTGAAACCATCCATGGAAACGCATTTTCTAATGTTTCGGAACCACCAAATATTCTTTGCTCATCTTCTTGACAAACATAAATCTTTATGAATATCAGCAGAGATAATATTGAAAGGAACTTCATGTTAACGATTCGTTTGAAAAATAAAAAATGGCAAGAATATTATGAGATGCATAAAGTTTTTATTTGATGGATAAAGAAGTATTTATTATTTCTAATCCATTCGACAAATAGAATATTATTCACTAAGTTTTCAACAAACGTTTTTTTTCTTTCTCATAACTTAATCAATTTATTTATTTGGTTAATACACATTTGCTTTTATGATAATGTTATCGATCTCACTTAACTATAAGTAGAAATAATATATATTGACAGTTATACTCATTCTTTTTTATCGAATACAAAAGATATCAGCAAATTGACAAACTAAAATTATCAATGGATTATGTTTTTTTCTTCGCAATACACTTGAATATAAAAATTTTCAATGATTTGATAAATAATCGGTTTTATATTTTCATTGATTGAAATTAAAAATCAAGAACAACATTGAAATTGAGGATTTATTTCTCATACGTGATTTTCATTTATTAGAATACCTGAATGTTTTACATTTTGAATCCGAGATAATATCGTCGTTGCCCTTTCATGGATTTTTTTAGTAATAAACATCATGTGAAGAAAATATCAAATTACTATATATAATCTAATATTAATCGTTCATCGATCCGTTGTTTTTCTTGATTTAATTAACAAATAGATTTCTAATAAATGAAATAAATATTCAATAAATTATTTTAATAATCTGTGTTGAAATAATTGTCTAACTTTGAAATAATAGAAGATAACATTGGATTCAGTGATAACAAGAAAAGTTTAATTTTTCTCTTAAAAATATTTTTTTTCAGTAAGATAATGAAACTATGAATTGTAACAAAATGATTATGATACATCAAAGACATATTCTTTATAGAGTTTGGTTCAAGTACTATTTAAGAGATAAATATCTCGGTTAAGCATTCTCTAAAACAACATTATTCTAACGTGTGTAAAAATAACAAGAAATTCTTGATGAAATCGTTGCTAAACTTCATCTTATAAAATTATCGTGTAAAACTTTTGTTTTGCATAATTCAGACAAATTATAATGACAAGTTCGTCATTTTTTCATGAATTATTTCAAGAAATTTTTCTTCTAAGCTAGTTTTTGTTATTAGAATGAAAATCAGTAAATGTGAAGCGTTTTCGAGAAGTCTCAAATCGAATCACTTTTTGATCACCTGGCTCACCTTATAATTGCACTTTTAATGGTATATTGCCTTTACACAAAAGATTTCTCAATGATCGAACTCCTCAATCATTACAATCTTTCATTAGAATATTATAAAAAAAAAGTTTATTATCATAGTGATCACGAGTTGTACAAAGTCAGACAATTTTAATGCTTAAAACAAAAACAGCAACAGTAACAAGTCGAATTATTTATTGGACTCAAAGACCAAGGTGCGTTATTGGTTACTGCAACTTTTTGAAGGCTGCCACTTATTAACATAAGCTTTTACGAGTAAAATGGTTGTTGATCAATTTTAAAAAGTCAGATCGATTTTTTTTTCTTATTGACAATGCTAATTTTAGTACACAGTTAATACTGTTCCATTTCAGTAAAATTCATGTCACTCAGTGGCGGCGGAGCCCTTAGGCTTGGGGAGGCTCAGATATTTGAAGAAATTTTATAGATCTCATCCTGAACTTGTATTTAGTAAGCGAAAACTCTTTCATCAAGTGTGTGTTCAGCCAGATGTTAGATAGCGTCATAGAGAACGGACTCATTAGGTCTCAGGAGTCTCCAGGCTTTTCAAGAAAATGAATAGCAAGGCTAGAGAGACTTGACATCTTCTGACAAAGTTTTCCGAATCTCATTCTGAATTTATACCGAATGTTCAAAAAAGTTATCCATATGATTTATTTTGTATATATCTCTGTATGCACAAATGCTAAAATCTTGAATTTTTTTCAAAATATGTGAGGTCGGTGGTTTCTAAAATATAACTACGAAAAAACTCCTGCTGACTTCTTTTGATGAATTTTAGAAAACTGAAATAAAAGATGTATAAAACATTTCTAATTCCGATTATGTTGGAATTAACAAACATATTTTGAAATAATAGCTATTTTGCATTTATTTTCGCACAGAAAGATGATAAAAACCTGAATGGTTTATTGCAAACCTTTTGGAGAGAAAAAAAAGTAAAGATGTGCGAGAAACTGAAATTTTTCTCCATAATAACAGACTGAACGGGCCAGAAATGGCAGAATGATTATTAAAGTCAAGTTTAATGTACAAAAATTCGTTACTCAATACAATGACACTATCAAGGTGATCCGTGTCATGTTCGAAAATCATTTTAGAGATATAAAAGTGAACAACTAGGCGATTAATCATTTAAATAGAGGAACAAATTTAATTCAGAAAAGTGAAAAATTGTCGTATTTTGTACATCTTTGCTTTTAGCTCTCTCGAAATTGGTTAAGATAAGTCTGGAGAACGTTTTGCTTCTTTAAAAAAATCAAGGTTTTCAGAATTCTTGTGCGAAGATAAATAAGAAATATGTATGTATATTACAAATATTTTTACTACTTTCAGTATAAAGGGAAGTAGCAATATTTTATATATCCTATCCAATTTCCTAAAAATTCATCAGAACAGGTCCACATGACCTTGTAATGCAGTTGATGCAGACAATTCAACGACGGCTTCTAGGATTCGTTTTCAGAATATTTCTATAAGTCCCTAGACTGATGTTTTCATTTTAACATTAAACTGAAGAAATTAAGTCAAAGACAGATAGCTTACAAAGGTGAGGATTCACTCTTCCAGACCAGAGATTTTTTTTAGTAGAGTTAAATTGCATTTTATGTTATTAAACAGGGAAATTCTGTGATTTAAATGGTTCCTGTAAAGATCAAACAAATAATGCTCGAAAGATTGTCAAATTCAATGGCGCATCTTTTAAGAAAATTCCAGTAAGAGTTAGAATTAGAAAGCTAAAAAATCCTTCCTCCCTTTATATCACTCTCCCATCGCTGCCTGAAAAGTTTTGAGCCTCTCCTAGATTTGAATCGTTCCGTCACCTCTGATGTCACTTCATGTCGTGGATCGTGTATTGGACCTTGAATATAGATAATAAGTGTCATTGAATCAAATGAATACTCTGCTTTTATTTATTGACTAAATGAAACTTCAAAAACGTTTGCATAATAAAGATTCGTAATTGTTACCAGTTGCGAGATGTAGCATCTGTGTAAGAAATGTTGATGAAAAATCAGATTTTCATTGTATTCAATAAGGACCATTTTAATCTGTGTTTTAGTTAGAAGAAAAACACTTAAAGTCAGATGTTTTTCTGTTATCTTACATGGAAAATCTTTCTAGAAAACAGAAATAAACATCAAGCCCTGTTTTCAATGTAGTCAAAGTCATAAAAGATATTATTTACCATTCATATATTAATTGACAAAGAATTTTTCGTATTTTACAGTACATATTCATAGAATTTTCTTTTAAAATAAGATATTATTGTATGTTTAAGACATAATCAAACATGTCAACATATTATTTCTGTTTAAAAATAAAAACCTTAAATTGATGCATTACTTCATTATTAAAATTCATGTTTTCTACTTTTATTTCATTCTTTATTTAACTGTAAGAGTCAACCAGTTTAACTTCACATTTCTAAATCATATATTTAACGAATTATTACGACTATTTATTGATCTGAACTTTGCTAACTTTTATCATAAAGAAAATCAATGAATAAAAAAAGGAATATTAAAAACCTCGGTAATGGTTTATTATATGTCAGTGAAAGTGAGTGAGAGAACTTCAATTCTTTGGAAGAGCTCTTGCATAATAAAAAATAAAAAGCAAAATTTTTCGACCAATGATAAAACTATCTCTAACGAGCTATGTTAGTTAAGCATCTTAGTGGAAAAAAAAGTAAATGAAACGTAAGGAGAAAAAGTATAAATTTAAAATTTTATAACAACGCTAACTTTTGTGTAAAAAAAACGACGCAAAACATCGTTATCTATTGTGTGTAAAACATAATTCTAGCGTAAAACATCTATTAGCCACATTATTCATATATTTTCTCTGATGTTCAATGTTCGTCAGATGATTTAAACATCGAGGTAGTAATAATTGATTAATCCGTGTTAGATATTTATATCATATTATTTTTATATTAAATCTGTAGGAGCAATTTTGGACATAACTAATCAAGTTCTATATTAAATTTTATTTTTTAGATTATTAATTCTAATTATATTTAAAATAGACATAGTGTTTTTTTTCCCAGATCTTATATATATATATATTCTTCGTTTCATGCAGCCAATGAAAGATGTGTTGTTATGCGCATTTTTTTCCTGAGAAAAGATGAGCGGAAGTCATATTTCTTTAAATGAACTATAATTGCTACACGTAGCTTACCATTCCGAGTCTTTTTCTTTTATTAATACGACTGATGACGAGTAATAGCAGCAACGATTCAATTTCAACTAATGGCAATTCTTCGGATATACCTGATTTTTCAAGAAGTTCCGTACCTGATTACATCCAACTACCACTTTTTTTATTGACCATTATTCTTGCATGTTTATATACAATTCTCATACTCATTCGACGAACATTTCGTAGCAATAAACTCAATTGGTTTACCATCAATGTATGTGTCATGAGTGCATTACTTAGTCTTATTATGTTAATGATGACTACCAAACGATTACTGAATGTATCAAGTAGTCTCCCGTGTCGTGTTGAAGGATTTTTCCTAGATATGGGTGCATGTCAATTAATGTATTCACATTGTGTGGTTGCTGTCAGTCGATTCCTCACAATTGTTTATGCAAATAAACATATTTTTCGTTCAACTCTGTGTTTATGGAGTTGTATGGGTATTGGTTGGCTTATTTCAATCCTTATTGCTATACCTTATCTCTTACTAGATGGTTTCGCATGTTCAAATTCGACAGAAGGAACTTTCTTGTCCTACTACACTCTCATTGGTACTCTTGTCTTGCCAGCTATAATTGTTGGCATATGTAATGGTCGTATTTTACACTACGTGCGTAATTCCAGTCGTCAAGTACATGTGGAAGGCAATCGTAGTAGAGTATCACATGCACGAGATGTTCGTTTGATTAAGATAATGATTGGTACTTTTATCACTTTCTTCACAGGATGGGCTCCTGTTTTTTTAACGCAACTATTTGGCAAGAATAATGTTATTCCTTCAATTCTTGAAATATTTTTTCAGATACTCCCATCACTCACTGTACTGTTTGACGTTATTTTCTTGATATATACCAATCAACCAGTGCGTCTTTTTCTTAAACAAGTATTTGTTCGACATCCTCAACATTTACAAGATAAACTTGTTCGAGCCGTACCTCAAAATATTTATAATATTCAGAATCATTAATGATTAATTTTTCTATGAAATAAATCAATTTTGTTTGGTCATTGTAATTCAAGTTATCATATATTGAGTCTTTTGAGTAAAAAAAACTTAAACTAAAATATTAATTGTTCTTAGGCAATGTTTACAAACAATGAATTTTTTTCTATAATCATTAATTTAATTAATAAAGTGTTTGTCATCAATATAATATTTTTTTTAAATCTAGAAACATGTACTTATTTAACAAGAAAAAATATTATTTGTAATTTATCGTATAGATTCTTTATAGATTCATTGAACAAACAAATAATTATTCAATATTAATGTTATAATACAAATCATTTCTTTTTGTTGATTAGACACGTAAAGAAACAAACATTCTGTGGTGTATGATAAGTAAAACTTGAAACAAACAAGCTCGCTTCAAGTAGATTATATTTCTCGCTCAAAATCACACATTTTAAGCAGCTTAAAAGCCTTTACAGTTGAATATTCAAGCANGTCAAAACGAACTAACATTCTTGGTGAGAAAAAACAGAAAGAATTACAAAAAAAATTCAAAAGGTCGAGTCAATGGAGTCAAACTCGACTCGACTCGACTAGGGAGTAGATATCATTGGACTCGACTCGACTCGACACATCTCGCAAAATCTTTAACTCGACTCGACTCGACTCGGCATTTAGTCGAGTCGAGTCGAGTTGATTTGTCGAGTACTCGACTCGTTTTCGGTCTCTGGTTTCTTACTTGATTGTTCTGCAGTACTGGAGCGAGCATTGCAATACCTTTGTTTGTAAGCTTGTTCTCCGACAGATTCAACTTTGTAATGTTTTTTCCAATCATCTCTTCCTGAATGATGCGTTCCATGTCAGAATCGGTTAAATTCCTTCCTGAAAAATTCACTTCTACAGAAAACTTTGGTTGGGAGCTCGACAGTTCACTAAGACATTCAACTTGAACAGGTGTAGCATTTGCCTGACGAATGTGTTGTTCTTCAGCTGAATTGATTACTGAAACATAATGAAGAAGAATAAATACAGAACACATATTTTACAAAATTTAAATGTTTCTTGTACAAAATGCAAAATTCTGTATATAATTTGCACTATTCAACAGTATCATAATAGAAGTTCTTGTCCTTTTTTTAGTATGACACGATGAAAAATTATTAGAAAAGCAAAGTAGCTATGACTTAATTTTTTCATCAATCTATGTAGATATTTTCATTGAAAAGTATTATCTGAGTATAGCAGTTAAGCATAAATAATATTAAGTTTTAGTTGTAAATATTATTATCGGGTGACCCAATTTGTCTTTGTTATGCTTTTTTTGAAGTTAAGTGAATCTACGTATGATTTCTATCCGGTCGTTCATAGTGAGATTCAACAAAGACGATCAATTGACGCTTGTATTTAATTGCTCAGATTGTTTTTTTTATTATACTTTCACCAGTTTTTACTCGGTAAAGAAATTACTATTAACATAGTAAATACATAGTATTTGTTCGTTTTCGTAACGGTGACATATCACTTATTCTTCAAGAATTGACGCAAATCTTAAAATAAATCTTTTTTGACTGATCTATAGTAAACTTCTCATGTGATTTATATACTGTATTTTACGCAAGAAGTACATACCCGTAATATAAGTTTGTTCTGTCAATAGATGTTTTAATTGTTTAAATGTTGGTCGATCAAGAGATAACTTAGACCAAGTCTTTGTAATAATTTCCCAATATTTTGAACTACATTTAGATGGTCGGGTTAATAAAATACCGTTCGTGACGTTTTGAATAACATCTACATCTTTATCTACTTTTGGCCATGGTATTGCACCTCGAGCATATGCTTCCCACATTAATACTCCCATTGAATAGACATCTGATTTTTCTGTGTAATCATCAGGTGTTGAATTTTTTGTTAATATTTCCGGTGCAGCGTATCGAGTGGGAATAATATCTAATGTTGTTCGTGCAGATCCTGACGTTTTTGAATAAATTTTGCTTTCTCTACTGAGTCCAAAATCAGTCACTTTTACAATATTGTTTTTAATATTAGTTTCATCAAAACGAAAAACAAGAACATTCCGACAGGCTAAATCACCATGAACAATGTTATTGTATGCCAAAAATATCATAGCATCAGCAATCTGTAGAAATATTTCAATAAGAATCTTTTCATCGGGTACTGTCTCTCGTTCTTGTAATAATTCATATAGACTTCCTTCAGGTGCATATTCTTGTAGAAGCATGACTGAATTATTTTCGTCTTCAGTTTTTTTATCCGATACAAAACCAAATGTGCGGACTATGTGTGGATGACGAGTTAGATGAACATAGAATGATGCTTCTTTTAATGCGCGAGCACCGTCAATTTTTAATATAATTATTTCTGGTTGATTAGAATTAGTTGGCAACCATTCGGCAAGATATATCGCTTTTCCGAATGTTTGAAATAATGGACGACCTGGCTTTTTTTTTACATCCACATTTAATATAAATTGATAATTTTTTTCGATTAATGATGTTTCGAAGGCACCAACTAAATTTCTAACTAAATGATTTGGGTATAAATGTTCAAGTGACAACTGTTGATTCGTTTTAGGACTTGTACCATTTTTTCTAATCCAATCTTCGATAGCTTCTCTCTCATATGTATGACCATCTTGAGCTAAGACTGGATCACGGAATAATTCCATTGTTAAAGGACACAATAATGATACAGATTGTGTTGCCATACTTGAAAAAAAAATCTTCAAAAATTTTTGTTTTTATTCAGTTGATTATGAATACGTCTATGTTTACGAAATGTATCTAAAAAAACGAATAAATATCCATGTTCTATGCAAAAAGAAATGGAAAAATAATTACTAATAGAAGTTAAACGCAAATAGAAATTAAATAGATATGCATATGTTAGCGTCCCAGCTCATATTCCCATAGACCAATCTAGAATCCTATATTGGACGGACATCAATTCAGGCCATTCTCGGATTGGTCTGTTACAATACGGTCAATGTAAGATTATCCTGAAAATTTTAGGTGAATATCGGATTGGTCTACACCAATGTCAGATCCAGTCAGAGTCAATCTCCAATCGACTAACATATTACATTACGGCAGAAGTTAAGCATGGCATATGAAATATTATTTTCAAAAAAATATAATACTTAATCATAAGCAAATAGCACAAAAGGAATCAACCAAGAGTGTGAATGTGAGATAAGGAGAATAAGTACATTCGTGCGCATGCATACCCTTGGTCGATTTCTGCTGTATTATTTGGTTATGATTAGATATTGTATTTTATTGAAAATAAAATTTAATGTGCTATGCTTAACTTCTGCTGTCACGTAATTTGTTCGTCGATTCAAGGTTGGCCGTATTAACCTTTCAATCTGCCATTAGCCTAAAACTATCTGAGATTGGCCTGAAATTGTCAGATGAATGCTAGATTGGACATATTGTAATTGATCAGTTCGAAAATGGTCTGAATTGATGTCTGTTCAATGGTGGATATGAGATTGGACGCTAACACATCTATCACTCGTCTAAGTAATTATCGATTAAACAAAAATTCTAACAGTTGAGTATAGAATCGGTAATGAAATGTCAATATTGCAGGTAGAATACAGCATTTCAATCCTATCATACTCTACATAGTACGTTTCAATTATGAATAAATCCTTTTACCATGGTAGTTACAATAGAAAAACATGTATTATAGTGATGTTCTAAGTCAAAGTCCTCTCAAACCATTTTTTTGTATAAACCCAAGAAAAAATCTCTAAGTTTTTGTTAATAGAACATTTAAGAGAAAATTCGTAAAAGTTTACGAGCGATAAAAACTCAATCGATGTCAACAAACTTATGCGTTGGAAATTGGAAATCAGTATGCAGTGGTTGCAGATTCGATAAGAGATTTACAACAAGACGAATATCTCTCGATTATATGAATTATATTTATAGGTCAGTTCAACTTGTTTGAGCCAAACCTGATTAGTATGGTAGTGTAAACATGTTTTGGTCATATAAAGTGTTATGATACTTCTTTTTTCTACTGTTTTGATAATTTAACTCTGCTAAATCAAAGATTAAATATCTTACATACTTCATTGAAAAAGTGAAGAAATTATTTTAATATAAGAAGAATATCACATGGAGCAAATATTTCGAGTCGATATGTGCTTTATTAACAGTTGAAAATTTCAAATGTAAGAAGTTACAAGGGAGTCGTATTTACTTATCTCTTGTTAATGTTGGAAATTAATGAAGATAACAATATTCTTTTCTTAGGCATTTTGATAATAACTATGAGATAATAAGAAAAATATTGTTTTACACGTCATGAAAGTCATAAGATCGAGTTAAAGGAGAGACACATTTTAAAACTCAAATGTTTATACTCCATAAAAAAAAAACAGACTGTTTTTCTAATTCTCACTGTATCTATCGACAATAATATATAGAAATAAGATTTTCACGTTGAAGAAGATATTCTTCTGATGGTAAAAGAAGAAAACGTCACTTGTATGTGAGCAGTTCATATTTACAGACAACAGGCAACACTAATCAACCATCGGAGATTGAGTACGATTATAAAACGTACAAAATATTTTTAACATGTGCACTTGTCAATATCATCTTGAGTCAAACAGTACCAAAATTTGCAAGCAATTGAAACTTAAGTTGAAATCTTTTCTATTTGAATTATTTTTTTCGTATTTTATGCAATAATTTCAAACAAGCCTACATCCAATGTGTCGAAAGCATAAATTCTTGGAATTGTAGAAGTTCTTAGAAAAACTTAGTTTTCATTAATTAGTCAAAGTTATAACGATGAAAACTTTTTTTTACTAAAAACTAAATTGAAGACTAATAATACCTATTGTAGTTCAATGAACAACAGTGAATCATTAAATATTTCTATTTTTGGCGTGTTTGTTTAGTCAAACTTTACCGTTACTAATTTGATTTGTTTCTGCAATGATATTCATAACTGAAACAGATATTCAAAACACAAAA